GTATTAATAATAGAGTCATAGAATTGCTCAGATTGGAGAAGACCTTAAAGATCACCAAGTTCAACCGCAAATGCATTAACAAAATACTTGAAGGATGTTTTGTTACTCAATCTGCTGATTGTGGGTGAGTCAGAAAATGTAGATATTGACTACAGGTATATTCTTCATAGATTCCATGTACAGGGGTTGTTTTCTTCCTTTATCTTAGTCACATCATAATTCTGTTATCAGGATAAATTATCAGTATATTTTAATTTTAATTCACAATCCTTGTCTTTGTCACTTTTCCTGCATTTTAAGTGCTGTTTAGCAGTGCTTGTTCTTTATCAGTTCGGTGAAAAATGCATTAACATAGGAAGTATCAATAGGTGTGTGTTCAGATATTTGGCATGCTAATTATTGATGCACAGTACCCAAGTGAATTTTAAGATTACTGTTTCCTGGTGGAGCTGTGTACTACCCAAGTACAATTTTTATGTAACTCCTGGTGTAAACAGAATAAACAATTATGTAGAACGTTTCAAAACATACTATTCTATTTCTTTCCTAGCAAAAAAAAAGCCACCAGCATGCAGATAATGTTAGCCTAAGGCCCATTTTTGTAATTTGCCTTATTGTTAAAGATGTTGTAATTTGTAGCTTGTTTTATCCCAATGTATTCTATGTATTATCTTGCTCTGCCTTCCCCTCCTCACCTCCCTAACTCTGTCTCAGTAGCACTCAGGTCCTTTTCTTTCTTAAGGTTTTGTTCTCGTATAAAACATTCTGCTTGATGTTTAAATGCATCAGCAAAAACCTCTAGTTCTCTAAATGAGATTCTGCAGCTTGTCATACATTTCCGTAATCAGCTTGCCACTAACTTCAGGACACCAGTCTTCCACATCATTTATTATCTCTCTTTGGAAAACTATGTTCTTGGTGTTTGTTTTTTTTTTTTTTAATAATAATTGCAATTGCTTTGCTGGTGAGAGTGATGTTTTCACGTTTTCATTGCTTTATTAATTATGTCTTTGGTATAGTGCAAAATTGTATCAACATACAAGACTGTCCTTCTGCCCTTGTATTAACTGAAAATCAAAGGAATTCAAAGAGTATGCGCCAACAACATTAGGTTTTTACGATAAATGAAACTTTACCTGGCATCACAGAAACACAGAATATCCTGATATGGAAGAGTCCCACAAGGATCACTGATTGAATCCAACCCAAGTCTCCACACAGGACCTCCCCAAAATTCAAACCCTCTGTTTGAGAGCATTGTCCAAACGCAGCTCAGTGCTCTGACCACTGCTGTGGGGAACATGTTCCAGTGCCCAGCAGCCCTCTGGAGAAGAGTTTTTATTTCAAAGGACTCTCCAAGTCATTAACCTGTTAGACAGAAAATCTTATGAAAGTTACGTAAATTCAAATTCTATTTCAGGAAGGATTTATGACGTCTATAGACAGAAATTTGTTTGTGATCAAGATCAACAATTCAAGGCCAGACGAGTGCTGTTTTATTAACAAAAATTATCTGAGTCTCTATTTGCTAAGTGGGCAGGGTCAAATTATCCCTTCTTGATGTAAATATGTTTTAGCACATGAAATTCCAGTAGTTTCTGTGTTTGCGTGCAAATGCAAAGAGATGAATAAACTGTATGCACATTCCTATGTATATAATGTCTACGTATGTAGATATACTTCTGTGTCTCTCCAAAACATGAAGGAAGAGAAAGTGATAGCCCACTTCATTAAACTCAGGTAAATGAAGAAGGGAGGAACCAGTTCTAGCAGACTAGCTTTATGTTCTGATGGTTTGTTGTGTGTGCTTGAGTAATATTGCTGGAAATACCCAATATGAAATTCCATTCTTGCAAGAACTGATTCGGGTCAGTGAAGCCTCCTCTTCCCTTGTCTGACCCTTTATTACTGATGAGTCTTTCTATCTTTAAATATCACTGAAATTCTTTCACTGAGTTGTAACTCAACATTGCAACTTGAATAAGGACTAACACAGAGTTGAACACTTATAGGAGAATAACTTCCTATCAGCTTTTTACATCTGGTAGCAAGAAACTAGATTTTGATCAAAGCATAACTAGCAGAACTTTAATACTTTAGCAGGTATTTCAAGACTTTATTTCACTTGGGCTTTGCTTACACAGATAACAATATTCTTCTTGCATTATAGATTTTCTACTTGTTTGTTGTTTCTCTGTTCTGACTGCTCTGAAGACTGTAGCAGGAAAAAAAATTTTTTTGCTTTATTTTTGTTTTTGTGTGTATCTCAGTCACACACGGAGTTTAGTTATTCTGAACAATATAAAGTAGAAAATAGAAGAGTGCTTTTTGGATTGTAAGGAAAGATTTATGTGGAAGTAAGCATGTCTGGCTAAAGGTTTGTGGACTTTACTTTGTCATTAGTTTCTTGGTCCTGATTAAATTTCTCACTAAGGTGAGTTTTGAACCTACCTTTCATAGACTTATAGTGAAACAAAGAGAAGATTGTGTTATGTCAGCTTCTTCATGTATCCCACCTATGGGATTACTGAAGGAGTAAGAGGGCCAGTGATTTAAGTGGTATTAACTAGTAGATTTAGATCTCCTCTTTCAGGAGTATGGATAATTTATCCTAGGTAGGGAGCAGTGGCCTACAAACTTTAATAGTGCAGGTACAACACAAGCCTTGAGTAGAAAGATTACTGACAATATAAAAAAGTAAGTGGGAAATGTTTATTGAACACGAGAGGGGTAGCTGTAATACTTCTGGAGTTTTATAGATCTTTTGGCTGAAGCTTTGTAAGTTAAGACTTTATAAGTTAGGGCTTTTCATCAAAATTGGATCCAAAGCAGTTATCAAAAGAAGAAGAAGAAGAGAAAAATGGCTGTAATTGAGAAGTAATAGAAGGAATAGCTTTTTATTTTGACAGCTAGTGCTAATCACAGAATGAGATCAGACTGCTGTAAGTGGTCTGAGAAGATTAAAAGCAGTCTAGATCTAGTACACATAGACACAGGACGATAAATTAAATACACTTTACAATATCTGTGATAAGAAATCCTCATATTATTTTTTCATAGGAAAAAATTACTATGGCCTCAAAGCAGCATTTCTATCATACGTAACTCCTGTTTGTTTAGAGTTTCCTGCTCATGGGCTCAGTGACATATGTGCCTTCTCTCAACGTTACAACTCCTGCAAGCCTCTAGTGTTATGTGCTGACTGTATGCTATGACTTAGCATCTGATATTTTAAAATATCATCATTTTAACGTTAAGATTATTCTATTTATGTTACCTTTAATAAATTATACTATTTAACTTTCTTTCTAGTGGAGTATATATATTATTTTATTTTTAATTTAGTTGTGTCATATAATCATAGAATCATAGAATGACTTGGATTGGAAAGGACCTCAAGGATCATGAAGCTCCAACCCCCCTGCCTCAGACAGGGCTGCCAACCTCCATATCTAATTCTAGACCAAGTTGCCCAGGACCCCATCCAACCTGGCCTTGAACACCTCCAGGGATGGGGCATCCACAACCTCTCTGGGCAGCCTGTTCCAGCACCTCACCACTTTCATAGTAAAGAACTTCCCCCTGACATCCAGCCTGAATCTGCCCTCCCTCAACTTAAAACCATTTCTCCTTGTCCATTTGCTTTCTGAGCTGCACAGGCACACTGCTGGCTCACGACTAGTATTTTATTTTTTTTTCCAATCGATTTGTGAGATACTATCCTTATTTTTAATTATTATTATTATTTTGTTTGTTTGTTTGTAGTTCCAGGAAAGGAGAGAGAGTTGCCTCTCTTGATAGGTTATGGCAATAAAAATACCAATGCATACAGAAGAGCAGTGGCTTGGAGGGGAAGAAAATGTAGACTCTTCTATAATGCCAACAGCTGCTGTTCTCTTTATATAGATTTACTGAAGGATGGTAGTCAAGTATATTCATTTCTAATGACCACTGCAGTTTCTGTGCTGTGTCATCCAGTTGTGTGTCATTCTGTGCCATCTTGATGTTTCTGCCTTTGATTTGGATGGCAACTGCAGGCCTGATAGAGGAATTCTGCTTTGGAAAAGATGGTAACCCAGGTACCACAACTTTAACATGCTTTTTAGGAGATATAGCTTGTAAACATGTTTTGCTTTAGCTAATTTGCCAAGAGATTGTGTCTGGCTGTGAAAGCAAATTTACCATGCAAACTCAGAATGATTCTTGATTTTGCAAAGAAAATGCTCTGGAAAGCTTCATTTACATGTTATCTGCAGCACTGTGGTGCGGCTTTGTGTGATGATTGCAAAAGTGACACTGGCTTGGTATTCAGCTAAACGAATGAATCCTTTCTTGTAGAAGGGTTGCCCTGGATTATGTTAGCTATCATAAATATCCTTCACATAGCAGCAAGGATGGCATTCAGGATGTCAAGCCAGCTGGAAAGAATCCCTTTTACAAGGCTCTGTTGGTGTGGGTGGATAAGCTTTCTTGACAACAGTAGTGCTTTCTCTCCTGTCTGTCGTAATTTGCGTTGCTAGGATCTGTTTCACAAGTTTTGAGACAGACTTATATATGATATTGTGATTCCTTTTATTTACATGGGGAAAGTGAACATTAAAAGAACATGGAAAACAATAAAAAGTCGAGGCACAAAAGACCATGAGAATAATATGAGAGCAGCTGTTCTTGAAGTGAAAAATAATTTTCTGTTGGTTTGATGAAATGAAAAGTAATATATGGTAACATTCCCCTTTTTTTGAACTTCATTTTTCCAGTAAAGTGGAAAAAATTACTTTATATAGTCATAAAGTGAAAACTTCTATTAGAATTCAGGAGACTTTCTATATATCATGCCATTATATATTATGTATTTTATTTATTTTACCATTAATGGTAAAATGCATTTTAGGTCACAAACATCGTTCCAATTCCTGCTTCAAATCTGCATTTCAACATAAATTGGTGATTTCATAGTCTGCCCTCTCAGCTTATTTAACTTTTTATATTCTTACTTCCAGGGGAAAAAGAAGAAGAACAAATAGTTACTGAAATCATGAGAAGACGTTTTTTTCCTGATGTTATAACTTATAAGGCTTGGGAAGGCTTTCACTTTGCTGGCCATGAGATAAGGATTACAGAAGCCACTGATTGTTATGGGGCAGTTGTCTGGCCATCGGTACAATATTTACATAATATTGTTACTTTCAGTTTTGGAGTCTTTTAACACATTTAGTTGGTTTTTTAGTGATAAATATTTTTTATTGTGTGTTGTGAAGCTAAGGATAATATTCTATACTTTCTCCATTCTACAGTTCCCAAACCTGAATTTAGCCTAGTTTTCCTATGGCTTCCTGGTTCTCAAAGCTTAAATGATATGCAGGTCACTCCAAAGATATTGCCTCTTATTTATTTCTATGCAATCCACAACAGATACAAAGATTACAGTGGCACTGTTTGATAGAGCACATTCTCAGTTAAAAAGACTTTTTCAATATAGTCACCACGGTTAGCTGTGCATTTTTGCCAGTGATGAACAAGAGCCTGTATGATGAGCTCAGAAAAATCTCCAGCAGCAGAGGTGACCCATTGTTTCACAACTGCCATGACAATGTCAGTGTTAGGAAAACATTGCCTGTGCAGTCCATCTTTCATCAGCACAAAAACATGGAATTCAGAAGGCACTAAATCCAGCACTATGTGGTAGAGCAGACCATCCAAGATTGGCAGTGTGCTCCACAGTCTTCAAACTGGTATGGGACCTGGCTCTATTGTGTTGCAAGAAAAAGGCTGTCATCTTCTCTGCTGCTTATTTGGAAGTTTGAACCTTCAGCTCAGTCAGTGTCATGATGTAGCAGTCAGATTTAATGGTTTTTCAGGTTTCCAGGAAATCCTGAAAGATCACCACTTATGCCAAAAGACTGCATATCACTTTATCTGCTGAGGGCTACATCTTGAACTTTCTTGTTTGATGGAGAATTCATATGTCACCACTCTGTGGACTGCTGTTTAACTTTGGCTTATAGTGATGACACCACATCTTGTCACTGCTAATGATGTGATCCAGAATACTGTCACCTTTAGCCTCATACAAACTTGACAAAGTTGCGTATGGTGCTCTTTCTGTTCATGTGTGAGAATTCGTGAGGACCACCTGCCATAAACCTTGTGATGTTCCAGCGTTGCTACCGTTTTCAACACACTGAAGCTGATATCCAGCTCCATACACAGTTCTGTGGTTATTATCTGCTGATTCGTGTGGATGAGCTGATTGAGACTCTCTATTTTGAGGTGTGGCAGTTGTGCATGGCTGTCTGGAATTCAGCTTGTCTTTCATGTTGTCATTGCCACTATTGCAACACACTTCCTACCGCCTCACTGTGCTCCCATCCACTGGTTGGTCCCTATAAATGTTCAGGAAGCATCAATGAATATCAAGGGATGCAATTTTTTGTTCATTGAGAAATTAAACTCATCATTTCTTCATGTGCACTTCCATGTCAGAAGTCATTTTGTCAAACTGTCCCTCTGCTGCCAATCATCACACAGCAACAAAATATAACAGAGTATTGGCGAAAGGTTCAACCTCTACTGCCATACCACCAAAATCCATCTCTGATGTCCTAGGCCAACATAATAAAACAGAAGGCATTACTTTTGGAGCAGCTCTCGTATTTCTTGTTTGTGCCCCTTCACACAGCATGTATGATGTGATGCCTTCTCCTCTCCTGTTGAAACTTTATGGTCCTATTGGCCAATTAGAAGCAAATTTTAAAGGAAATGTGGGTCTTATATGAAAATTACGTTACTGTACGTGTTATAAATAAATGACCCTAGAGAAAGCAGATTCAGAAAGAACTCAATAAGGTGCTGACTGACACTCATAGATGCTACTTAAGCTACTCAAGAGAAAAATTTAGCATGTAAATATGCAGTCATGGGAGAAGATTCACATAGGACTTCCAGTTTCTTAAAAAGACAGAAACGTGTGTGGAAGTGAATCCATGCTCTCAGGGACCATCATTCTTGGCTCTTGATATTACAGAATCACAGGATGGTTCAGATTGGGAAGGATCTCAAAAATATAAGAACTAGCAACGTATCCACCATACAAAGAACTTTCTTCAGTCTTTTGAGTTTGTGCAATGCAGCTAAGGGACTGTTTTGAAATAATTAAGAGTGAAAAAACATTGCTGCGCGTGGACAGGTGCCACAATGAACCACTGACACTTGCATTGCTCAAAGAATCTCTCTAAAATAGACGGATTTCCAAGACCTCTTATAGAATCAAGGGGATTAAAAGCCAAGAGGCTCCATTGTTGTCCCAATTCTTCCTGTCCCAATGCTTCCTGTGCTGACCATAAGCATGGTCATTCCAAGCATGACCATAATCCAGCTGAGGAGGGTTAGTGTACTCTCCTGCTTTGGATGCCAAACACTTTTCCTTAGCAGAACTGGAGAAGTTGTTTACACTGTATCTCTTAGCAGCCTCAGTGAATGTCTTCATGGCAAGGTTGGCTGGCTGTTAATTATTCTCACAAATCAAGGGCTACACTGAAATGCACATTTTTTTCTGTGGAGGTTTAGTCAATTTTTCTGTGAAAGGAAGGAAAACTTCACTGTGTCTCTATATTCTCCCTTCTGTTCCAACCTGCAATACATGAAATCTTCTGAAAAATATCAGTCACATTTGTCAAGAATGCTGAAAATTTAAGAGAAGTTAAGCTTCTGCATGGAAAGGAAGCTGAGTTTCAAAGGTTCCCTAATTTAAGTCACAGAAGTTTTGAGCCTGCCAGCTGGTTTCAACAGCAGAACATGTCAAGACACCGAGGGACGAAATGATGGGAATGAATGGAGCTAAAAGGAAAACTTGATAGGATTTGTTTTAGAAACTCAGTTCAATATCACGCACAGTCTTAAAGAACCTGGCTTTTATTAATACAGTCTGCACAAACTTTCTATTTTTAAGTTTTGTTGATTGAGATATCTGTGTGTTCATATGAAAAATCTTGTTCTTTTTGCTCTGATTTAAGAGGTTGAAAGCAAAAACACTGACTTTCTATCTCTTACAAAGTCAACAGTCCTCCTCCGTTCCTTCTATATTTTAATCTATTGAAGTAAAACCAAGAATAAAATTTTGCAGAGCCAAGCTGAATCATTTCTAATTATTTTCCCAAATGGTAATCTGTACTGCAAGATAATGTAGCAACCGATATATGTATTTGTCAGTGTAGACTATATGATTTTCTAAGTGTGGGAAATAATACAGGAGACAGGCTGGAAACTGTCTTTGTGAGAGGAGTAAAAATAGCCATTTGTGTTTCTAGAGTGATCTAAAGAACACTGGTCAGTGTGAGATAGGACAGAAAAGCTGGAGAAGTTTCTTAAGTCATAGTTTATGAATGTATACATAAGGAGTCAATTGTAGAGGGCTATGTAACAAGGTATGGACATTAAAACTAGAAAGAAACTGAACTAAAAGTAAAGGGGTGAATTTATTGGCCCTTTTTGAATCATTATGATCATTAATTATTATTTTAAAGAAGAAACTAGCAAGAAACTAGCAAGAAACTAGCAGGAGTTGTGGATTTTCTCTCACATGCAATCCGTATATCAAGATGTCTTTGTGACAGACATGTTTTAACTCAACCAGAAATAAGTGTGGGAATTGCTGACTGGAATTTTACAGCTCATGTTATGCAGTGTGACAGATTAGATAATTGCAGTCATTCCTTCTGGCTGCAATGCTTTGCAAGCCCGTATCAAAGCATGTGGTGGCATTTGTTTTGTCAGCCTGTAGAGCTCAAAGATAGTGAGTCATGTTCCTTTCAGGACAGTGTTTGAATGGATATTGCTCATTTAAACAGACATGAAATTATACAACATTTTTTTTTTGCATGCTTGTAAATGACAATGTGTATTGAGTGAAGGTTTTTGTTTAATTTATTTATTCAGTATATTCATGGATTCCCTCTCCTGCAGGCTCTCGTTTTGTGTTATTTTTTGGAAACCAATTCTAAACAGTACAATTTGGTCGACAAAAATGTGATTGAAATTGGAGCTGGAACTGGATTGGTCTCTATAGTAGCCAGTTTACTGGGTGAGTACATACCACTGCTCTTATACTTATGGAAAAGTCTCTCAGATGAATACTGGAAAGCAAAGGAAGTATGTTAGTACTTCTAAAATACAGTTATTTGACATTCTCTAAGAGAAAGAAGAAGTGAGTTCCAACAGGGTTTCTTAGAAATTTGTGTAGTTTTTTTTCTCTCTCTAAGACTGTAAACGCAAAGGTGTGTAGATGCAATAAAGACGGTCCCTGTGGATGATGTTACCATTAGCAATGTTAAACAGCAGACCAACAAATAAGAAATTAGTGTCTAAGAGGATGTCAGTGGCAATAGGGTAAAATCAGACGCAGGCATGACCAACACATCATCTTCCACTGATCAAATAAATACCTCTTGGATGCCAGGTCACTTCCTTCAAACTTGAGTTCAGCCTTTTCTTTCAGCAACGGATCCTTGACTTTTCTGCTACAGAAACTTGTTTTCTCTCATGGCAGCCTGCCCTTCCTCAAGAGTAATTCCAATCAGTAACCCCTGTATTTGAACAGAATTTAGCTTTCTGCAGTCTGAGAAAGCTTGTTGATATGTTAAAAGGAAAGAACCTGAGGCCACGCCTAAATCTAGTGTTGATTTTCTGCAATTAGTAACTGTTACTCTTCAATTCCCAATCTCTCACTGTGCTTTCATTGAAAATGACATCAAGATATGGTATTTGATTTATCCCCACCCAAGCCCAGCTGTCTTTAGATTGCAGTCTGTGCAGCAGAACTGCTGCCAGTTACCAAATATTTATTTTAAGTACAATGAGTAATAACTATTGGGAGCAATAACAGTGTTCTATTCCCCTAGACGGAAAATTTGCTAAAATCGGTTCCTTGTGCAGTGGCTTTTGCAAGTGGGCTTTTACTCAAGTCTTGAAGTATATTGAAAGATTGTTTTTGTTTTCTTCCTGTCACAGGTGCACTTGTGACTGCCACTGATTTGCCAGAACTGCTGGGAAACCTTCAGCACAATGTTCTCCAAAATACAAAACTGAAATGCAAGCACCAGCCCTGTGTCAAGGAGTTGTCCTGGGGAATTGATCTGGAAAAAAACTTTCCCAGATCTTCATGTCACTTTGACTACATTATGGCTGCTGATGTAGTTTACCACCATCCCTTCCTGGATGAGCTCCTACTAACTTTTGACCACTTGTGCAAGAATGATACTGTCATTATGTGGGCTATGAAGTTCAGGCTGGACAATGAGAACCAATTTGTAGACAGATTTCAGACACTCTTTGATTTAGAGGTGATTTCTGATTTCCCTAGTTTGAACATAACCCTGTATAAGGCAATGAGGAAAGGCAGGATGAAAGTCAGACCTTCCAAATTGTCTGTCTGAAAAAGAGATATATGGGGGTGATCATCTCAGATGCTTTGTAGCTAGTTCTCTTTTTAATAATTTCTACATAAGTAGTTGCCTGCATCTTTACGAATGACATTTTTTAAGCAAGTTAGAACAAGACATTGGTTTTCCGGTGCATCCCTACGGAATTCCTGAACCCAATTTGCTGAAAGTTTTATACATGGAAGAAATGTATTTCTGATGTTTTCTTGACTTTTATGTGCTAAATTGACAAAACTAATAACTTTCATAATTCTCAATATTATTTTTATGGGATGTGCAATGAATATTTCCTTTCAAATGCAGTTTTAAACAGTGTCTTATGAGATTAACCAATCTTTCAAAGATTTACTACAGTCTTACATTTTGTATTTAACAGGTGTGATGTTAAATCTATTTTTCTTCATTCCCACCATAGCGTTCAAATCCTTCCTTCAAATGGCCCGTTACATGACATTAACTGAAAGGAAAAATGGGAGATACAGTATCATAATAAAGGGAGAGAGACTATTAGTTACTCCTTGATTTAATGACTGTGTTTTCATAGAATCATAGAATGGTTTATGTGGGAAGGGCTCTTTATGATCATCTAGTTCCAACCCCCCTGCAATAGGCAGGTACACTTCCCTCCAGACCAGGTTGCTCAAAGCCCCATCCAGCCCGGCCTTGAATGCCTCCAGCATGGGAGCTTCCACACCCTCTCTGGGCAACCTGTTCCAATGTCTCACCACCCTCACAGTAGTGAATTTCTTCCTAATGTCTAGTCTAAATCTACCTTCTTCCTGTTTAAAGCCATTTCTTTCCCTTCCACTTTTTATTTAGATTCAGGGATTCTTCAACAGACAGCTGCACATGTGAGGCAACAGGGAGTTAAATATTTTGTTACTTGAACAAAGGTCTGGAATAAGAATAGTACATCACATTCACAGGTCCCCGTTGCAAAGACCTTAAATTTTTGGCTATGTGCCCATTCAGAAATAGATTGGTATTTGCACCTCAGGGAACAATGGAAAAACAACAGTGGCATCAGGACAAGTATTCTGCAGCGTCAGCTGGTGGCAGCTGGAGGTAGAAAATGAAACCTGCTTGTCACAGTGTGGCTGAGACATGGACAGACTAGACTTTTTGCAAGGGCAAATGGAGCATTTTTCTCCTACCCTCTCCTAGTTAACATGTGTTCCCAGTTTTAGTGATCAGATTAGTGTACTTAAGCACATAATTTTTTCCTTTGTTCTTACTCCCAGCATAAAATTTGATTTTCTGAGATAAAACTTTCTACCGTTAGACATGAAGTGATGCAGACAGGAGAATCCAAGCTGCCAAGATTTTCCAGTGGGATTTGGGGACCCCAAAGCTGAAAGGAAGTAGTGGGAGGATAGGTGAGTATTTGGCAGGAGGGATCTGGATGTAGGAGGGTTGTGGAAAAAAGGTGGATGTAGTGAAAAGGTGAGATGAAGAAAGAGAAGAGGTTGCAACAGTGACACTAACTTCAAAATGTTGGATCCACTGACTGAAAGGGGACATTCTCTGTAACAGCAATTACTTACAACCATCCAATCCACTGCAATTGAAACTAAAATCCTTTCATCCTAAAAAGCATCTCTGTTTACAAATATTTCACAGATAAATGGATTGGCACTGGATAATGAGCAAGACAGCTCTGCTTGCACCAAAATCCTCCAGTGAAAATATCCTGTGAAGTACAAAGCAATGCAGGCTAAGGATGAAAAGAGAGAATCCAGCAAAGTAGTAAAGTGGGATCACTTTTAATACCAATGAGCCCTTCTATTTTGTCTGAAGCTGTCCCCCACTGAGCTCCTGCTGAAGTCAACAGGAGCTGTGTTTGTAGAGCAGATTCAGAATTGGGCTCTTCAGGCCTGACAGCATGGTAATATTTAGTGTAATCTAAAACTGCTCCCCTTTCTCACAAGTCGGTCTAAGCAACACTGTGTGAAGCTTCCTGGGAAAGCTCCAGAGCCTAGCTGCTCTATTGTATGAAGGCCTTTTGTCCTCTGTTATGATAGGCAGGTTATTAGCCACGACCAACGGGTGGTGGAGGTTATATGTGGCATTTGCCTGTGGAGTTTATTTCTGCTCTTTGAGAACAGGTCTCTCAGATGACTGTCAGTTATTGCAGTTTCCTAAAGTCGGTTATAGTTTTAGTAATCACTTACGCTTTGGTCTAAAACTTCAAACAAAACTCAAGTTGTTATGCAGAGCACATGGCATTGGCATAAAACTATGCGTGAACGAATTCCACCTATATGAACACTAGAGAGACTGTGTAGGCTTACAGGCTTTTACATTATATTATGGAATGTTATGCTAATGATATTAATTGAAGATATAAGTCATGTATTACTTAGGTTCAGTCAGTTCCTTGGTTTTCCATACTCTCCCCTATCAGTAACTTATTGAACAACAATACCAACAACATGCATAAGCAACTGGACAGCATTTTCTAGGTTTTCCACAAATGTTTTACTAACCACACAACTTTCACATGCTAATATTTATTACTACCATTATTATTATTATTATTACCTGTGTACATATAAAAAGATTAAATAAATTTCTTTTGCTGTTAATCATATAATATCTCAATCAAAGTCTTTATAAATCATACTTTTTGCTTCTAAACATTAAAGTAGCAAAGATTTTCAGCATTGTATTTTTTCTGTATAACCATACTGAATTTTTGTTTCTGTCTCGTTGAATTGTGATATTGCAGCTCTGGGTGACTGGATTGCATTTTTGTTATTAAATTCACTGATTTGTGCTTTTGCCTCTTATAATAGCTGTAAGAAAAAGCTACTGCCATTGAAAAATCATTCATGTGACAGTAGAGATTGTTTGAGCAAATCTCATTTTCATTTAGAAGTAGTAAAAATGGCCCAGACTACAAAATACAACAGCCAGGGAATATCCAAATAAGTATCCATGGCATAAATGGCAGTTGATTAATTGCACAATCACTTGTCAGTATTAGGTGAGCAACAAAGGCTCTAGCTGCCATGGGTGTCTTTAATCGTGATTGATACTGAAGATCTATTGAGTGCGTTGATAGATGTGACGATCACCTGAAAAAATACTGCATTTTATAAGCAAAGAATAGAGGATCCTGAGAACAGGATGGGGGTAGAAACACTGAACTGAACCCTTCAAATTTTGGAGATCTGAAAGGTATAAGATGCTTTTCTGTTCATAATTTCTGATACTACACTGGTAACTATGAGGTGACCTGAAATAAATTCACTAAGAGGAAAATAGTGGCTGTTGAGATGTCATTGCTCCAATGATGTACTTCAGAAATCGATACGTTCATGCTCATAATAGCTCTGTGACGTAAGGGAAATATGGTGACACAGTTATAGAGCAGAGAGGGAACTGAGCTAAATGTCAAGTGATGTAACCATAGTCACAGTACGAAGTACACTAAAAAGTTATTTCACAGTAAAAACAATATTTCCTGTGTTTTTTTTTTTCTTGTTAGAATTTGCTCACATGGCAGCAATGGAAAATTTAAACTAAATTCATTATTTCCTAAAATAAGACCCCATGCATCTCTGTAAATAAATAAGAAAAGCATAGGGAATGTAAGCACTCAGATTTCATGTAGTTATTCCAGCCAACCATATAATAATACATGGAATGCAGCAGCTACAGCAAAATGCTGGAATCGTCCGGGTAGGAAGTCATCTCGTAGTTTGCAGACATACATACCTGGAAATGTCTTCCAGATGGGTTCATTGCAGTCTTTCCAGGAACTGAGATGAAGCAGACTGTACTGTAGCCCTCAGCTAATGTTTTTATCCCACTATGTGCCTTCCTCACTCTTCTCAGGATTTTCAAACCCCATTCCAGGTGCACTGTCACACAGAGTTAGAATTTAATCCCTCATCCTCCCTTCCTGTCCTTTAAGATCTATTAGCCAAAGCATTGCATTTATGCTGTTTATCTGGGAGAAAAGGCTCTACAATATACCTGTATGACTCTTTTTCTATCTCGGGGAAGATTATTAGTTGGAAATTGAGAGACAAGTAAATCAAGGCATGAGATTCCAGAGAGTTTTTATTGCTACCCAGACATAAGGTTTGGATGCTCTGACATCCTGAGCTCTCATGTCCCAAGAGGTCTGTAGTTACAGAACTTTTCTACAGAACATTACTCACTGCCTATTACAGATGATTAATCTCTACTGTCAGATTATTGCATTATTGGATTATCCGGATTATATGTTATCGGATTGTTGTTATTAGCCATAGGTCATCTGTCCTCTATGCTACTGAATCCACTCACATTCCTTTCAGGCTTGAAGACAGTTCATGAAATCAGAAGAGGCTGTTGCTCTCATGATGCCTGTGATTATTACACCCCTGTGTGAGAGACAATGTCTGCTTCTTTCAGCCTTGGCAGCAGAGTAAAAGTATCATTAGATATTGGCTGTGTTCCTGCTAGAAGTTCATCAGATTATAGTAGCATTAGAAGTGCATGGACACTCAGGGTAACAAAATGGATTTTTTTGACAGTGGATGATACCATTTTTATTAGGAAGACATGGTTTCTCATGATTTATTCTACTGATCTATCAAAATAAAAATGTTAGCAATATCCTCCAACTGGGGAACAATTGTGAGCAATCACAGAAGTTGCTCTCGATGCCCTGAAAATGAAATCCCAAAAGACTCTGCAGTCATGCTGCTGTAAAAACTAAGAAAATCACACATCTCCCTTCCAGTTTATTGAACTTTGAACAGCACTGCTTTGATTTACAATGTGAGAAAACAGATAGAGGTAGATGGTAAATCTGATTTAGAAGATCACAGCAACTGTAATCTGACAGAGCACTTTCTTGCCTTTTTCTACCTGATATGGATGGCTTCAAAATATTTCAAAGTGCACACCTTCAAGACAGTCTGCTCCCTTCCAGACTGAAGTGCTTCATCAAAGAAAGGTAACTTTTGGGAAGCGTTTTAATCTGAATTAAGATGAAAAATCTTCCAGGTTCACCCAAATCATTTGGAGTCTGGGTGATGATAGTGAATGCCTGAGGAGCCCTGTACCCAGTGCTGTAGCACAGGTGCTTGAAAAACTTCATACACACTGGATGGGGCATCGTTAACTTTTGAAATCTGTTTTTTCTTGCAGCACAACAGGTAAATAAATAATTTTGTAGTACACTCACTGTAACTGAGATATTCTATAGAAGCTGTGTTTTGTACTGCAAAATAGGTTTGTCAGATGATTCCTAGCTAATTCTAGTTCAGAAATTTCAATGGGAAGGAACCTGTTGAACAAGTTGTGCAAGAGACTGGAGAGATAAGAAATCACATGGAAATTATTGCTAAGCCATGTAAAATAACACAACAGTATTCACTGCTTGTTTTCAGACTACTGCCCAGTTTTCAGTAAGCTCCCAGTAGGTAGTCTTTATACCAGGCCATAAACAACTGAATAATACAGGCAGGAGAAAGATCATATAAGAAAAACTGTCTG